CTAGCAAAGCCATTCAGGTATCAAAATGTTCAGCTCTTCAAGGACAGTCATTTCTAAACTTCATACTTTTGAAATATTTAGCTTTATTTTGACAATCTTGCCCCATTCAAATTAATGGGAAAATTGTACTTCAGCATACTTTCAGGTAAATATCCCTTTTACGTGTCAAAATGTTCAGCGTTTTCAGGGCAATCTTTCAGCACACAGCATCCACACACATTTTCGACAGGAAATGCATTTCTCTAGTTGCAGTAGTTAACTACACAAAAAATGGCAAAAATTAATTTAATTACTTCAGTCACTATATAGCTATGAATTTAGTTGAACTACCAGCAAGAATCTACAAAATATAATTTAACTACTAGTTTAATTACATTTAGTTCACTACTCCTCAACACTGTGAACACGATGTATTGTTCTGTTTCAAAATCTCTAGAGATGCATCAACTACATTTGAAACTCTGTACTACAGTATACTAAAATTCATCTTCATACCGCTTAATGTAACAGACTTGTCACTAATTGCATTAAGGTTAAGTAACTGAAAATGCCAAATCAGAGGCAAAACCCAACTCATTATCATCATATCACTTACAGGTGACACTGCTGTCATTCCTGGTGGACATTGAAGTCACCTTCTTGGACTACATCAAAGGAGGGTAGGTCAATGACTATGTACGTATTTAGTGAAGCCAAATAGAGGTGGGTGTTGTAGTCCTTTGAATAGAAGTGACATGCTGAGTGTGCCAGCCCCTGTCTTGATGATAACCCCATCATGAGTCAGTGCATGCAATATGCCAAAGATAATGATCCTACAGTATGAGTGAATCTGACAGAAAAGTGTACATTTGCATGTGGGGGAAAAGATGAAAGCTGGAGCGAGAGCATGAGAGACTGACAGATGGACCAACCTGAAGGGCTCACACTTGGAAGTGTGTGTGCATGTTTGCACTTGTGTGTAATCTTGTATTGTGTTTAAGCACTCACCCTTGCTATGTGCCACCGTGTATGTGCTCACGTGCGCCTGTGTACATGTGTTTGTGTACACAGGAGGTTGCTCAGGAGGGCTCACCATGTGCAACAAGCCATGGCATGAATGCTCTCCTACACACACTGCCTTCATTAGACTCACAGAGGGAGGGAGACTGTCAAGGGAAAGAAACAGTGCATGTGTGCAACTCTGGAAAGAAAAATCATCATTGCTGTCCCTGTATTCTTCTGTTCCTGCTGCCTTTGGAGGTGTACTTTACTGTGGGTGTGACAGAAAGCCTGCTGGCTTCTAAAGAGGAAAAATACTATTAAAAATGTGAAAATGACAGATTTTTGGGGGGGGGGGAAATCATAATTATAGAACAAAGTTGAAGTTTGTTCCTATAGTGAAACTCAGAAAATACAATCTATAGTCACTTCAGAAACTACTCAGACCTGGTAACTTTTTGCATACTTTATTGTGTTGTACATACACATAGATTTTATTTTAAATGACTGAAATTGCCAAGCTGGACAGCAAAGTACGCAGAGCAAACTTGGCACCCATAAAGGAGATCACACTAACAATTTAATGTTATCACACTTGACATAAGTTCATTACATAAAACTGACAATAAACCAAAACTAGAAAAAAGACTGGAGTCCAAATAAGAGCTTGACACAGACAAGAAACTGTGAGAGGGAGAAGAGTCCAAAAAGCAGTGATAAAAGGCAGGAACTCAATAAGGATGAGATTAGATTTAGATCAAAAAAACAAAACAAAGCGAATTGTGATTTGAAACAATGACAATTTTATCAATTTAAATGTTAACCTACAACACAGTGAAGTGTGCAAAATGTGAAGCCACTGTAATTTCCAGTTATCTGTTTTGTGCTGCTCATTTCAGAGGGATTTCCACAGTGGTAAAACACAGCTCAGAGCAGGAGGGTGAAAAGCTAGCCAAAATTGCTTGAACCAATGAAAGGATTATCCAGAAAGCAAACACTTGCTACACTATGTTGTCTTCTTTCTGCACAACAAGTGATTTAAAGGATTTGGCTTGTGAAAGCCTTGCCTAAACTTTGATATATTGAATAGTTTGAGATTGAAGGTTTTAGACTTTTTCCTTAATTGACATTAGGATTTGATTAATCCCCTGTGGCAACCATCAAACAGTATGCCAGCATTTAGGTGCTTGCTTATTTTAAACCTGTATATATTGTTGTGGTTACCTTTGCCAAAGTGAAGGCAATGTTTTTGCCAGCTTTTGTTTGTTGATTGGTTGATTGGATTTTTCCAGGCATAACTCAAAAAGTAATTAATGAATATTTTTGGAAAGGTAGGGTATGGCCCATGGAACAATCAAGTTAGATTTTGGTGCTGATCCAGTTTGTAGTTTTCAGTCATGTGACTGACCCAGAACCATGGAGGGCAAGAAACCCTTCCAACGTTATGGCTAACACTGGACACTCAATAGCACTGCAGCACAGGCCTGGTAATTTTCTAGTTATGTTCTATTCAGCTGCTCATTAGTAGAAACAAAGGGATCTAAGTCATAACCATCAGCCGTTCTTTTTATCTCTGTGCCTAAATTTCACTGCCTGTGTTCTAAACATACTCCATCAAGACAGACAACAAGGAGTGGTGATGGAATGAGCTAGCATGTGAATAAAGAGAGGGAGTGGTGCTAGCAAAACAAAGCAGCGACTCACAGAAATACAGTGTTACTTTATGATACTTTCATGGTGGTTAAGTTGTAAAGCACAAATAAACACAGCCACACACCTCCTCACAACCCTGCAGTAAGGATTTTATGTGAATGGAGTCAAAGCATAGGCTTAATCCTCCTGTCTGCTCTGCTGTGACCTATGTCCTGTGCTGTGTGTGTATAGCTAAGCCCTGCACTTGGCCTAATAGACAAGCACACAACTCATATTATGATAGTCAAACTACCATTGGAATATTGCTTTTGGGTGTAATGGCATTATGGGAAACTGACCTGCCTTGACGGATGAGTGCTGTCAAGTTAAAGTAACAATGCATACATTTTGTAAATTAAATTAACAGCTTCAAAATCGTTTTGTTGGCAGACTGACGTTTAATAAGGTGAATGGCATCCCTGATAATGCCACTGCGTGCCCAGATCATCTGTTACTGCATTATGTAACTTTGGATCACTATGCCAGGGACCTCACGTGATAGCTGCATTTTGCGTTATGGAACCAGATCCTTCAGTTACCTCTGTATTCTATGATTCTTATAGGGTTTCGCAGATTCAGAGACAAATCCCTGGGCCTTTTCTGAGTTTTGATATTTTTTCAGAAAGTAACCATTTAGATTGTGACCATGTAGACAGTTATGCCAGTTTAAAATTTGTTCCAACACTTTTGAGGATGTGAGTGCTTATTATCAAGTCAGGTCAAGATTTTTATGCATTTTATGCCATTTATGCATAAACATACAGTCTAGGCATACAGGAATACTTGTGCACCTCTCCTTTGGAGTCAGGTAAGGAGTCAAAAGCCAGAAAGAACACTTGGTCTTAAAATAAAAAAAAGTTACATAAAGGCAACAAAACATTAAAACCGCAATACACAAAAAAATAGGGTAATAGTATTTTCCCCAGTGAATTATCTGTCCAAGCTAGCTCTATTAGCAGGCAGCTACATCTTGTTCAGACCACGAGGGTACCGGTGTTCCAGTCGCACATTGTAGCTGCATTTTTACTGTCAGAAATTTGCTCATATCTTTTGAGGGCTGTGAGGGCCTGCTAGTAAACCAAGCTAACTCTCCTTAGCAGGAAACTACATCTCTTTCAGAGCAAAGTAAGCACTCAGCAAGGACGTTGGCGTTCGAGTTGCATATTGAGAGTACTATGTCCTCCTGTCCTCAGGAGTTTGGACTTAAAGTTCGGACTTACTAACTTAACTACAACTGCCTACTGCAACTGTGAACAGGACATGAACTAAAGCACACACAAAGCCATATGTAGTAGGCATCGCCTGACTGAGCCCAGCCACAGCCAAGAAGAAGAGAAAAAGGGGGAGCAAGAGACCAGACAAGAGTAAATTTTGGACTGGCTTTTACTCATTAGTGAGAGCTAAAAATGACACTGTCGGGTTACTAACTTAATAGCTACTGTCCTGACGTTAGTTGTAGTGATCTGCTAACAGGAAAATAATAACACCACCAAAGCAGTGCAGTGTACATCTCTGCTAATGTTATTTATGAAATACTTCAAGGTAGGCTATGCCCCTGTTGACATCATCCCCTGCCTCACAGAGATTTGTAGGTTTGTTTGTTTTTGTGTTTTACATATGTAAAAAGTCATCTACCTCAGTGACCCAAATAAAAAAAACTCATCTCACAACAGAAACTTTGGTCAGTCTTTGTCACTGTCACACCAAATAAGCCTTTGAGGTTTGCAGCCTAACAAACCCATCTCCTCTAGTTGTAATAAATTACACTGCGTATATTATACGCAGTATGAGCCTATATCATGTCGCCAGCATTTCATTCCGTTATACACATCTCCATTCAAACGATTAGTAAACTATCTGAAAATACAAGCAGTATTTCAGTAAAACTAAACAAAAACTGCCTTTATTCTGTGTTTATCTTCAGTGTCAATCAAAAAGACTATGCAGTCACTCATAATATTACCTTACCATTCTCTGGTTTCTGATGTTTTCTTTCCCATTTCAATAGCAGCTTCAACTTGTAAACAAATGTAAATATAATGTATGCTTACCACCGTCCAAAAGGTGGGGTGACAGCGCAACTAGTATTTATGACAATTGGGTACAACTCAAATACACTCAAGAACTGTAGAGGAAGACAAACTGCCAATTTATATACTGCATTGTTGCTTTAAATCTACTGTATATAATATGTAATAAACTAAGTGAAATTTGTGAAAAGAGCAGTTGCAACACTGGGGGAAAAAAATGCCTGGACAGATACAGAATTTTAAGTGACAACAAGGGAATATATAATAAATGTGCACATGGTTTGAACCCTCATCACAATAAAACCTTTCCCAAACCTGTATCCACATGATAAATTGCTGCTGAATCTTTAGTCTTTTTAGTTAGTAAAACACAGGAGCAATATAATGTTTATGACTTCCAGGATTCATGGCTTTTGTCATACTCATGAGTATGACTAGGAACATCAATCAATTGGCTGTTAGTTCAGTGGATTAGGAATGCATTTTTGTGTATGGCAGATTAAGATATTATGTGGAGCCATGGTATACGTTTCAGGACATGAAACTGAAGTACTAATATACAGTATGACAGGAAAGCTTCCATGTTTGTATTCTGATGCAATATAGAGTCATATGCTGCTGTACAATCAGTGCAGTTATTTAGCCTGATGGACAAGGTTATTAGGACAAGATTGTTACATGCAATGTGTGTACTCCTACTATCCTAGCATATGTTTATTCACTCTGTTGCTACTGTATGTGCTAATTGAGAAATCCCTTGTTTTGAGAATATGAGCTATTTTGATTTGATTTGATTTGATTTGATTTATTCTTTCAAGCATGTAAAGACAGTTGATATATCAACACACATAATTTTACACATATCCAACAAATGCTAATCCAATATCAATTTGCTTATACCTAGTACATGCTTGAATGGAGTAGGAAGAAGTCAGACTTATCCAGTCCTACCCCATGACATCATCTTACCATCATTGGTTTACAAGCAGTATCTCTACATAAATAATTCTCTTCTACACCACACAAGTAATATACTAAAAAAATTATAACAGAGGAAATACAAAATCTTTTTTTGGTTGTACGTATAGCATGAATTTTATAATTTAACTGACCCCTTAAATTGTATCCCCCTTCCCTTTCATTAAATAGTTTTTGAATTCCACCAGGTAATAAATTGTTCCTGGCTTTATACATAAACACAGCAGTCTTATATCCCACTAAATCAAAAAATTTTAACAATTTAGACTGTATGAAAGCTACATTGGTGTGATCCCTATACCCCATCTTATGCGCAATTCTTATCGCTCTTTTTTGTAATATATACTGTACAATGGTTGAAGTGACCATTTTACATTCATGTGTGGCTAAATGAAATGCCAAGTGCAGTGTTTGAAACCTAAATGGACTCAAGTGGTCCAGTTGCACTTACTTCAATCTTAATACACAAAAATATAAACACACTCATGCTCATGTGCAAGCACATGCCCTTCTACCCATGCATTTCATAAATCTCTAGTGTCTCTCAGTCTTGCTGGACCATCTACACCGGTATTTTGTCAGTTTGCAAGTCATCTCATCTAATTTTGCTTCTGTCTTAGCTCTCCTATCTTCTCTTCTCCGTTTCACTGCCATCTTATCTTCTGATTGACAGCTCTTTTTACAGCTTCAGCCCAATCAGCTAATTGTTCATTTGGACCTAATTAGGAGCATGCTCTGCTGGCAGCATTAGCATAAATGACTAATTTGAGAAGGTTCCATCTCAATTCAGAGCATAGCTGCTCTCATTCTTTTCTCTCACTCAGATAAAGCATTAATGCCAACCATGGATTTCCACAAAGGGGCCTCTATTTATGAGCATGAGGATAAAAATGAAGAATTGTTGGCTATATCTTTCATTTTGATTTGTGCATTTGAAGGCAACCCCGTCACTCATAGTGACAGATATTGTTTCCCTTTGTTTTGGTTTATGAATTGAGTATTCAAACCAGAATAGCAGCAGGAGGGAACTCTGCATTTATTGAAATCATTCTGAGAGGTTATCATTAGACAGAGGAGCACACCCTCCAAATCAAGACAAAGATTTGTTTAAAAAAATCAAATCTTTAAAAGGGACCCAGACTTTATACTTTGTCGGTCATATCTAGCAAATGAAGAAGAGTAATATGTCAGCCAGTAAAATGCTAATTTGACATGATGTAGATGAGCTGATTATCTCTCCTCTCCTATCCTCTAGCCAGATGGACGCTGTCCAAGCAGCAACATCTGTTTGCATATCATCAGGAGAGGTTGCATGGCACAACCTTGGATACACTGATTTTTTTCATAAATATGTTTGACATTCTAGGTCTTTCTTTATTTTAAAGAGTAAGATTAATGAGTAGATAATATATTTCTGCAAATAAATGAAAGTGATGCTTTCTGTTGTTTTGAGTTGATGAGGAAATCGAGTATGTGTTTTATAACAGTACCCATAAAACATGAAAGTTATCTTGCTGCAGAAGCACAATCTAGAAATGTGATGCTTTGTAGATTTAAGAGAGATATTAGCATCCAGTCTGTTCAGCCTGCAGGAAAGCTTTTTTGAATGTTGTGCGCACCCTCCTCAGTGGTCCCCCACCACCACCCCCCTGTGCGGTACTTTGTCATATTGGCTCCTTGCTGAGTCACCCTAGCCTTTTAACACAAACCTTATGTATAACATAGCATGTGTATTGTTTTGTCTCTAATTCGGAGGCTCTTGTTAAGATAAATGAAGCATTTTGTGAAAGTTACTGTGTTCATCATGTCCAGCATGTACACACACACATGTACAAACACAAACTCTTTAAGAATCATAGACAGAAACACCAAGTAGCAGACTGTGTAGTAAATCATAGGGAAAGTAAAAGTGAGCAGCTGTCTTCAGTGTGTAATTAAATCAAGGCAACTAGCCAAGCATCACTCACTGGAGCTGCCCGGCTATGGTGCTAATAAAGGGAAACCATAGCAGAGCAAAGCAGAAAGCCCATTTATTTTAACGAATACAATTTAAAAATAAAAATTGACTATGTATTTGCTCTATTCTATCATTGTGTCTCGTATACAACCTTTAAAGTACATTTGAATTTCAGCCAAATTAACGATTCTCCCCCATGGTTTAATGGTTAAATTCCCTCAGCGAGGAACAGGTGATATTTATGGAGCATGTGTGTGTAGAAACATTTCTACCTGTAGCAAAGGTTTAGGTGAACTTGTAGCCATTTAAGACTAGCCAATAAAAATGACCTGATAAAACTGGTAAGCTCCTAATATCCTTCAGGACAGAGAGTGATAAGGTACAGTTTTTGAGTTTTTCATGCTAAGCTCACATCCTCCTTCAGCTGAAGGCCAAATATATAATCCTGTAGTTAAGACCGCTACCTTTGGAAATCCCTTATCCTACCTGCCAATGCATTGTGCTACCTTTCTGTTTTCAACCTGTTGCACAACAATGCAGACCTGTTTTTGCATTCTTTCACTGTTCCAAGTGTGGGTAAGAGTCATTTTAATATAGTGTGTGTGGGTTATGCTCTACATTGTGCCATCTGACACCCACAGGAGAAAAAAAAAGACTATTGTGAAATTCATGTTTTCATATTTAGGTTAATAGAAGGAACAATGGTTTCATGCTAGGTTTGATTCCCTGCTGAATGCCATGAAAACAAAAATAAAGAACAAGCATAACACACAGGAAAGACATTGATGAGGCAACATATTTGAAGTTAAAAGAAAATATATATGCAGTATTTTCTTAAAAAGACATTATGAGCACAGAAACACAGAAAACTTTCTGAAATGTAATTAGCCAGTATCTTCTGTTTTGGAACCCATTTTCAATAACTTCTTTGGCATTAGTTATGTGACTGCTTTTAAATGTACATTGTAGTTTTACCTCATTTTGCTGATGATATACATTTATGTTGTTTTCTATTTTAGACTTTTCAAAGTGATGACTGCTTTTCTCCTTTTCAGCTATTCTCTGCCTTTAGCAATTTTCTTTTATTGTTTGTCCCCTAATTTGCCTTGTTTTTCTGGCTGTTCCTTCACAGTCCCACAGTTGGACTTCCTCTCTCAGACTTTGTGTGTGCATATGACAGAAAGAAAGAAAAAGGGCATGCATAATTTAGACTGCTAGGCTGAAGCTTGTCTGTGCCATAATGAGAAACTGGCCTAGAATTCACTCCGAGTTCCCCTCTCTGCACCCTCGTCCTTGCATCTGCCTCCTAGAAAAGCTGCTGTTTTGTATGAATGTGTGTACTGCTTAATAATGAAAAAATAACTTTTTGTGAAAAGTTTATGACACCAAAGCGTGCAGAGTGCAGGCACAGCAATGGAGAAGAGTGCACCTTTCTTCTTCATTAATACATTTTCACAAAACAGCAACAAAACTCAATTACATGAAAAAAGATTATCAGACACTCTAATTTAGCTCAGCCCTAAAATGACAGTATTGGAATGATTTTGACACTTTGTGCAACCCTTTGATCATCCACACAGTCACATCATTTTAAGCTCTGAGATCTCACAGAGTGGTGACTGTTGACTAGTTTTCCAAGCATTCGTGCTCATCATTAATTATCTCTTGAACCTGTCACTCCCTCTCTCCCTCTGGTTCTGTCCCCTCGAGACAGCACACTGCCTGCACTTCACATGGCATGCCAAGGTCAGAAAGATAATGAGCTAGTGGCTTCATCAGTTTTGTCTTCCTGCTCACCACAACTCAGACAGAACTGATAAAGCCTCTTGGATGAGAGGTGAAACGTCTTCTACCTAAAATCAAGTCCAGATGGTTTTTTCTACGTTTTTTCTGCTGTCTTCATTATATACCAAAATATGGACTATGGAATGACACAAAATGCATTATATAATCAGATAATCACATTCTCTTAGATAGTGATATCCAACTTTTTAGCTGCCTGGTGCTAGAAATGGCAAAGTTGGTCAGTCCACCATTTTGGTCCAGCTATTGGAGAGATTTCCATGACATTTTTTACAAACAATTATGGCTCTTGCAGGATAGATTCTAATGACTTTGGGACACAACAACTACAAACCATGTGTTATTTTTGTTTTTGTGTGTCTTTCAGTCTTGGGGACCTATACAGAAGGGATGGTGGGCCTTTACCATGCCATGGTTACTCAAAAATCTAACTCTTCTTCTTTTTCTTCTTTTAAACAAATTTAGCATTTATAAAATTGCAGCTTCTGCCTGCCAGAATATCGCTGGATGCCTCTTGTAGAGGTCAGGGTCACAGTTGAATGTACTGTAGTTCCTCTGAGCAATGCAATGCTTGCGTGTTTGTTGTGAAAGCTCTGTAATTTGCTCATCTCCTCATTACTGTCAGAGCTAAAGGGCAGGAGGAACTCTTTTTGTACTCTCAAACAGTAGTAACCTTAACCCGATTATGGCAGGTTATGACATATGTCTGCTATTTCTTGTTCTGATATGCCTGATTATATTCATTTCTTCTGATTGTTTTGTTGGATCACAGGTATGTGTGTGCATGAGAAAGAAACAGAGAGAGCAGAGATTGTTCATTAATGAATCCTTTCTCTGTTTTTGTCTTCCTAGGACCCAGATTAACTTCACTGTGGCCATTGATTTCACAGCTTCCAATGGTGAGGCTCCCAGAACACACACACTCACACTCACACTCACACTCACTCTTTGAATGTGCACACATATACACACTTAGGGATCCACAGGAAGACACACAAAGTATGCTGAATTCCTAGGGAACATTTATTCAAATATATGTAAATGGTGAATCAAATGTTTCCTAATAGCCCTCTCCATCACACCTGGCAGCTAAAACTGAGTGCAGTAACATTCTATGATGGCCATGATAAAGGACTCTGTTATCCATCCACCCTTGAGCTTGGTCCAGGCAGTACAGGTGGTAGCAATACTGCCAAATCCTATTAAATCAAATGAGAGCTTTCAGGCAGAGGATGTACAAAATGTATTTGAGGTTGAGGTGTATTTGATCTCATCTAGCTCTCACTAACAACTGATGTCTAGCAGGGTTCTGCAGTTTATTAAAACACAGCTTTAATATTGCTATAAAAAGGCATGTACAGAAAGACGAAGAAAAGTTTTTTTGTTAATGTTACCTTAATTAGCAGACAATTTATAGCAATCAGTGAAACTGCAATGGACTCAGAGATGCGACGTCTTGTAGTTTCATACCACTAGATCTATTAGGTGAGTGTTTCTGGAATCATTGGCTGCTATATTGAACCACAAAAAAAGGTCAAAAAGCTTTTGAAAGTTCAAATGGCTCTTCAGAGAATGATTGCAGATTCCATAAAGCACCAGTGAGCCCACACAGCCTCTTGCAATATATTGGGCCACTGCCACAGAAGGGTCATTAATTATTTAATTATGTTTTTGTATTTGTTGTTGTTGTTTGTCAGTTATAAGGATATCTTCAAGGATTGTTATATTGAATACTTTATTTTAATATAATTTGTAGTATATATTAAAATATAAAGTTACAGTATGTAACTTTAACATATTTTTAGTTGAAATATGCTCAGTGTCATATCTTAGTTTGGAGAGATGATGTCAAATGCTTCTGTGACTTACACTCATTGAACCACCTGGCAGCAGCACAAGGAAACCAAACAGTAGAGTAAATTATTTTGGCCTTTAATTTTGCTATTATTGTTTCATCTTTATTTAACAATGAGATTTATGAACATTTAACAATTATTTTAGCTGTTATCAAAAGTTACAAACCACAAAAAAGTAGCTAGTAAATATTTGAACAGATAAAACAGCTTAGTAAATTTAAGAATGCCTGAATTATCACCATGATTGTTGTGACTATCTCATTTCTTGTTTTGTCCAGGCACATTATGTTGCCCACAAAGCACCCACTGACAGTTTGTGTGTGTTTCCTTTATCACAAACAGGTAACCCAGCCCAACCCACCTCACTCCACTACATGAGTCCCTACCAGCTGAATACCTATGCCATGGCCCTGAAGGCAGTAGGGGAGATCATCCAGGATTATGACAGCGATAAGATGTTCCCTGCACTGGGCTTTGGAGCTAAGTTGCCACCAGATGGACGGGTCTCCCACGAGTTTGCGTTGGTAAGAGTGAGAGTGAAGAAAGGTTGGGCTGGAAGAATGAGTGGGATGGAGAAAAGAGTAAAATTGTTCCCAGTATTGGAACTTTAAACCACCTATCCAATGGACAAGTCATCCATAGTAGGTGACTCATAATCAGTATTAGTGGAGTAAATGTGAGAGAGGACACAAGGAAAGGAAAAAGAAAAATCTGCAGTCACAGGACAGTGCTTGTAGGTTAGACCTGGTCAGGTAAAGCAGTGAGTCCCTGTACAGGAGCATTCCCCGACATGCAGTACCGTCAAAGCCCTGTATTTGTCTTCACATCCTCTGGTTGCGGTGGTCGAATAATTTTGCTTTTACAATGGTGCTGGTAGATGTTGGTTTTTTTTTTTAGTAAGCTTTATTGAAAACTTACATAATAAACAAGGCAGTATAACATTTTGCCAATATGGTGGGGGCACTGGTGGATGTCTGGCAAGCTCACATGAATGTGCAACAGCCAGGATTTTATGCCCATTCAAAGAGATGCTTAAACTATCATGTAATACTTTATTTTGGTAGAAAAAAAAGTCTTGTAAGCAAGAGTTTGTGAGATGCATATAAACTGAGTTACTTCTGCATCGAAATACTAGAACATTCACCTCATTTTTTGAGCTTTAGTTAACGTCTAAGGTGATAATTCACCGTTATAACACTGTACATACTGTAAGTCAGAAAACAAGAAAAAGCATAACATGGGCTCTTTAAGTCCCCAGTGTTCTGCAGCGGTGGAAAGCACTTTCACCAGGTTTTCAGCAATATGCCGCTCAGATATTGTTTTAGTCTGAAAAACAGCAATCTGTTTTTTTTCCAGTAGCTTATCTACGATTCATATACGATTCAGCTGTAATCGCTGTTAGTTTATCCGTGGTCAGAGACACTTGTCAAATGACTGCGCAGTTCACATGCATTATCATCACACACTATATGCTGTTGGCTGTGACCATTGTTCTTAATGAGACTGTATATTCCAGCTGAACAAATGCTATCAAACTATTTTCTCAAAGAAGTTCCATACTGAACTTTTTGATAGGTGCATTAAAATATTTGATATTTTAAATTTCATAACTATTCAAATATTCAAAAATCATTGCCAATCCCTAGTGAATTAAATAGGCAACATGAAGCTTTGTTTAATTCTAGTTCAGCCAGCTCTTGTCAATAATACAAGAAAAACACGATAAAAACATTTCAGTGAGCATCAAATGAGCCCAGTGGCACACAGCTGTAAGTCATGTTGCAAATCACATTTGTAGGAAGGGCACTTTTGCTCTATTTGTGCCTTTTATTTACAAGTAAATTCCACAACTGAATAAAATAAGATTAAGTTGATTCGTTTGGGAATAATGGTGCTTGAATTTGCCTTTGAGGCTTGCAATTCAATTCAGCATAGTTTATCAAGCTTGGGGGGGGACTAAAAACATGTCATAATCAGTGACCCAAAAATGTATAAGTATCAAATATTAATGTATGAGTATTATTAACTAGAATTACTGCTTTGCAGTTGCATACCTCTGCCAGCCCTTCAAATTCACAGGAATGGACAGACCTAAGGTCACTGACCTTGGCCTTTGCGCTTCAACTACCAAAGTCTAATCGTTTAGTTCTAGAGCCCAAGTGGACACTTGTGCCAAATATGAAGAAATTCCAGTAAGGTGTTCCTCAGATGTCATGTTCACAATAATGTGCCAGATGGATGGATAGATGGACAGACAACCAGAAAACGTAATCCTCTGGCCATGGCTTTAAAGCCATTATTATCTCCTTTACTGTACTGTGTATATGATGCATTTAATACAACAGTCCTGAAATAAATCCTGTCTTCATGAAAGTTAATTGATATAAATGAAGTGGACAGAATGACAGAAAACCTCCAAGTATTAATCCAGTACAACTGAAGAGTGCCTCTCTAAAACTGTTTCAAGACAATTAGAATTTTCATGAAGGGACGACTTATTAGAGGATTGTTGCATTAAACTGCAAGGTACAACCAGTCTACTTTTAGCCTGGCATACCTAATAAACTGGAAACTAAGCTTATGCATTTTTTAACTTAGGATAACTCTCCTACTTTGTTTTGTGTAGAATGGAAGTCCTCAGAACCCATACTGTGCAGGTATTGACGGTGTGATGGAAGCCTACTACCAGAGTCTGAAGTCAGTTCAGCTCTATGGACCCACCAACTTCTCCCCTGTCATCAACCATGTGGCCAGGTAACACAAATACTGTACACACAAGGGTGTCTCACAGCTGGCTGCACACTGAGACCAATGTTATTTGTCTAGAACAGAGGACAGCTCTTTTTGATAAAAACGATCTTGTCTACACTACTATGAAACAAAAGAGGCAGCATTTGTATTTTAGCAATGTTTCATCATTGATCCAGAAACTTCAAATCTGTGAATATCTTTCCAGCTTTACCAGAGTCAGCCGCTATAACTATATATACTGTTGTTAGCACACTGACTGACAGCTGTCGCCTCCTCCGTGTCTGGGAGCCAATATGACATTTGCATGTAATGTGAGCTTTAGATCACCCCCTCCCTTTCAGTAGGTCAAGCACATTGTAATGCTCTAATATGACTTCACTCCAAAGAAAATGTGCACAGGTTTGCTCAAATGTTGGTAGAGGGCATTTCTGTCCTCCCAAAATATTGATAGGGACATGTCCCTACAGTCCATATGCAAAACGAAATCCACACATGACTAAATGTATTTAAAAGTGTCCAAATTTGGTAACTTTTTAAAAATCCTTTGCTTACATTATCAGTCAGCAGTTAACTTTACTTTTTCACAATCCTGTTGTTTTGTGTTTCCTACCGCACACACAAAGTTTTTCACTTGCATATTTGCTATCACTGCTTATATAATGCACTGCTTATATAAGCTCTAATCATCTGCATGAAAGAACAGCAAGTAGATTTCCCTCTGCGACTGACACTCAACGTGTGTTCTCAGGTTTTCAGTAAGAAGAAGAACAAGTGTTGCCAGGTAGCTAACAAGAATGTAAGGGAGAGAGCTCAAACTGGGGACACACTGTTTTGATAAGAACATAATTTATTCTGTAGGAAAGCCATGCAGACAGATGATACCCAAACCTCTTGAAAAAAAAAAGACATTAAGGAACGATTCATGCAAGTATGTAATTAAAGAGACCAAGACTCAAGTGAAATCTCCCACCAGATTACATCACATATTTAGAACGTAATTTACTGAAATCTTAATTGCGTAGTTAAATTTGAAGACGCAAAAGTCGTCTGAATTCAAATGCTGGAACAAGCAAAAATGCAGATGCAGCAGTTTACTTCTCTCCGCGTGTAATGTCACCTGAATACATATCAATCTCTTCACTTTTCTCATCGGTTACTTCCATCAAACCCTCTTTATGAACTTCTGCTACATATTATTAAGTACCTTTGCTACAAGATTTTGCTAAAAGAATCACTTCAGCCCAGACTAATCAGCACACATTCTATAAACTCATCTTCCTAAACCTCATTAAAACTTTGTAGAGGTTTTCTGATCGGATTTTCCTACAGTATATGTTAACTTACAGGCTTTTGTCCTCATCCCTCATCTGCAACCCCACCTCCACCTTCTCTCCCCAGTTTGTTGATCACCCTCATCTTTCTTCCTTCACTCTCACATACAGCTTAGTACCTATTCACTTTACCTCTTCTCTCCCGCTGCTTCGCTTTCTACTGTTCTTTAGTTGTTGCCCTATGTTTCCATCTTTCTATGTCTACAATGTTGTGATCTTCTACTGTGGAAGACAGAAATATCAGTTACCTCCAAAAGGGAGAAGACAGATGTGCACAGAGATCTAACCTAACAGTGCAGAAAGGTGAAACATGGCACAAACTGATGCGACTGGAATATTTTCAGTGTGTAAATATCAGTAGCAGTCAGTTCACGACTCACAAGGGAGAGAAAGGTCACACTGAACTTTGCAGGAGGAGTTGAAAGCTATACTGAGCTGAGGATCTATAGAACTGACATAAAGATAGATGTACAGAGAGAAGTACTTGACAAAGGAAGAGCCTCCAGAGAGGGAGGTAAGTAATATTTATTCAGTGAGGAAATTCATTTTCAAAGGATTTGTAATGCCTTGCTTTGACTCTGTTTATTTTGAGAACAAGTTGTGTACTTTAATTAAGACTGTACGAAATGATTAAATCAAGAATCTGTTTGCTCACATAATGAATCATAATAAAAAAAAGACATGAAGATTGTAGAGAAATAAACTACAGAAATGTTTGTGTCTGTTTTCATGTGTAGGTATGCAGCTTCAGTGAAGGACGGCTCCCAGTACTTTGTGCTCCTCATCATCACAGATGGTGTTATCTCAGATATGGCCCAGACTAAGGAGTCTATTGTCAATGTAAGGGCACCTACTGTAGCATCATCATCAAAAAGAGAATTCAATTCAAACACTTTTAACTTTCATAGTAATTCAGTCTTAGAAACCTGCATCTGTAAATGGCTTTAATAATAATAATACAGGCAACTAGACTTTCAAACAAGTATACTGGGGTCAAAGCAGCTGACACATGGGGAACTGAAGGCTTACTGACCTGGAGCTTTCAGGAAGTCGAGAGCAACATTGAATGAGGTTTAAACAAGTAGTTCCACATGTATTTCTGTGCATGTTTGGGCAGGCTGAGTGCACCCTACCAGGATCTGATCCAGTCTTGTACCATGGGGACTACTGAGTCTGGCATTGCAATAAAACTAAAACATTCTAAAACATGTGCCTCATTCACAACTGGTTGTGTGTCTGGTACCCGTTTTCTGGAAATCAATGGCAAAATGACAATAAATGCAAATGCAAAATGTTGGAACATTAAAATCAAAGGAGACTGATGAACGAAGAGAGAAATGCTGCTGAAACTAAATAAAATCTACTGTATATGTATCTGAATTGTAATAGTATTTAAAAACTGACATTTTGTGTAGATAATCCATCCATTCATCAATTATATATATCGCTTATCCTGAAGAGAGTCACAGAGGGCTGGAGCCAGTATAGATAATTGTCATGTCAAAAATTTTGTTTGTTTTGTTCCTTTCATTTTGATGTGTGAAATGCTAGCAAGAAACACAGTGCTGTTCATCAGAGTAGACATTTCACCACAAAGAAAAGACTTCACCAAGGAAAATACTTGCAATAAATGCAATAATTCTGTAGTGCGTAGTTTGTCATAATGCATAAAACCAATCAAAAAATTGATGTCAGTGACCTGAAAATGTATTACTTTTGTGCATAAATGTCTCTTAAATCCCCATTATCATGAATCTTTTTCTCTTGATAGCAGTAATCTGTCTGTCTTTGAATGAAAAAAACCCCAGCTGTGACTGTGTTTCCTATTTAGGCTGTTGGATGGATCATAAACATAATTACCATCTCATAAACATAATTACAGTGGAGTTGTTCCATAAAGAACAGACATGTATTGTGGGACTTACAGACAAATAATCTTAAATTGCCTGACTGATGCAGTAAAAAGAACCTCAGACAATACATAAATGTACGGAGCCATTTTTCATATTGACAATATATATTTTTACTTATCACTGTAGATCCATTCTTCCTTGCAGAAATGTAATGGGACTGGATAGCCATTACTAATGTGTGTGTGTGTGTGTTTGTTTGTTGAGCTCCTCTCACTTTTATCACATTATTCTCCCTCCATCCATCCTTTTCATCACTGTCAAGTCCTAGCGTGCTCCAGAGGGAAGCCAGAGTTCTGTGTAGAATGCAAACAGAATGAACATTGAACAGCAGTTATTTTTGTGAAGCTATTGATCCATATCAAGGCTTTTAAAGCAAAGATGGTGAGGAGAGACAGAAGGTAAAAAGGACGACATGAGGTGAGTAACAGGGAAAAAAGAGAGTAAAGGGCAGAATAGACTTAAAGAGCACCTTTACAGTGATGAGCAAAAAAAGAGAGATGTTTTGATACAACCATCTATTGCTAAGTTACCTGAGGTCAAGATATTACTGGAATTCAGCGAACACACCCACTGCTGGCCCTCTCTTTCGAATTGCACAAATACAGTACCCACACACACAACACAAACACATGTCATTTGTAAGCTGTCAGTAAGTTCAGCCATGTTTTTGATTCTCTCATCTCTAATATTATTCACTGTGATGTTTCAACCCACGCCACGCAGTAGAAGGTGCTGTAGAAAACATGCATTTCAGATTCACACAAACTTACACATACTGTATGTGCTATACATGCTGGCAAGACGTAAGAATGACACAATCTGTCAGTGCGTTGCTTACCACAAACAAAGGCTGTATATGTTTAGGGCCCTGCCTGTAGTTCATCTTTGCCCTAGTAACAGCATATATGGTCAGATTCATGACAGAATATGTTGACAGAAAATGTTTTGAAATGTATAAAATATTCATTGTTTTTCTTCTCTCCCACAGGCCTCCTGTCTGCCAATGTCAATCATCATTGTGGGAGTAGGGCCTGCAGAGTTTGATGGTAAGTCAGCAAGATCTCATGGGTTATGACTATATGTAAGAGTTGTCTGTTTTGTTTTCCTAAAAAATAAATAAAAAAAATTGGGAGCTGGTTGTTCAGTGACTGGTTAGATTTGTGGTTAAGTGATATCTTGCAGCATCAATAAGAAATAATGCTCACAGACTAGATATGCATTTGTTTCCCTTTTGTTCTCCTCAGCCATGATTGAGTTGGATGGTGATGAAGTTAGAATCTCATCCAGAGGAAGATATGCTGAGAGGGACATTGTTCAGGTCTGCACTTCTCTTCCACACTCTTTTTTTAATTGTTGTTCTATTATGTAAAGCCTGTTTTTGGCAGTTCTCAAAGAAATCAAGATTATAAATGAGATCTGGCACTGGAAATGCTGATTTTGAGGATCATGGCGTCCTCTGAAGCAGACGTGTTTGCATGTTCCTTTCTTGAATGCCGGCTTTTTTTCATCACTGTTTCTGGCTAGTGATGTGTCCTTCACAAACGATTTGTTCATTCTGAACGAATCTTTCCCACGACTCGAGAACATCGGGTCGTCTCGGGGAGTAATTCGTTCATTTTGTGTTGACCGCACATGAGCAACATCGCATAAGCTCAGTATTACTAATCTTTTAAAGATTAGTACACCTTTCGAGTCCTCGGTTTCGAGTCGTTCGTTTTTGTAACGTGACATGGCCGCTTTATTGGATACAGAAATTAGTTAATTTTCAACCATCCTTATAGTCTTTTTTACTCTTACTGTTACGTGATGCATTTATTTTTATTATAAAATTGCTTTTTATTTCCTACAGACTATAATTTTGTGAATATCTGTCAATATGGTTCTTTTCCATAACACTGAATGTTTTAATAACGAGTTGGTTAATGCTTTAAACTTCATCAGGGAAAATCTTTCTGTATACTATACAGAAGACAGCACGGCATAGCTTAGTTTAGTTTGTTATGTGACAAAAGACCAAACAAATTTGACTCAAAATATCCGGAGGTGAGGTGATGAAGTAACAGACTGCATATCCTCAAGACACAGGTACGATATTACTTATAATATGACCTTGGCTGCATTACAGTTCTTTCTTATTCATCAGAGCGCTAGAGACAGTGCACCCCGACACTATATTTATTGCTGCAGGTGACTTTAACCGGTGCAATTTATGGACTGTATTTCCCAAATATTACCAACATGTGAACATTCCCACCTGGGGCAAGAACACTCTGGATCATGTTTACAGTAACGAACGTGGTGCATACAGCGCTCAGCAAACTCCATGACGTCATCAGCGTGCTAGACAGTGCACCCCGACACTATATTTATTGCTGCAGGTGACTTTAACCGGTGCAATTTATGGACTGTATTTCCCAAATATTACCAACATGTGAACATTCCCACCTGGGGCAAGAACACTCTGGATCATGTTTACAGTAACGAACGTGGTGCATACAGGGCTGCACCCCGCCCCCGCCTCAGATGCTCGGACCACATTTTTTTGTTCCTGTATCCAGCTTACAGACAAAGACTGAAACAAACAAACCCTGTCACCAAACAAATTAAACTCTGGACCCCAGAGACTAAAGACACCCTGCAGGACTGTTTCACCCAGACAGACTGGGATGTGTTTAAGCTGCAGCCACCTCAGAGGACTTTTCTGTCAGCATACAGGATTATGCTGAGTATGTGACCGGATACATTAGCACCTGTATTGACAACATTGTGCCCACCATACAAGTCAGGAGGTTTCCCAACCAGAAGCCCTGGATAAACAGTCAGGTACGCCACACGCTCTCATGCATTCAGAACAGGCAATGAGACAGAGTACAAATAGCTACAGCAGAGAGAGGAGGCACACACACACCTGGACCACCCAACCCCCCACCTTCCCTCCACTTACTGTCTCATCAGGTCAGGTTTGCAAAGCTCTGAGGAAGATCAATCCCTGCAAGGCACCAGAACCAGAAAACATTCCTGGGAGGGCTGTCAGTGCATGTGCCAGTGAGCTTGCTGATGTTTTCACCACCATCTTCAACCTCTCCCTCAGCCAGAGCATCGTTCCCACCTGCTTTAAGACAACAACCATCAACCGTTTTGAGAGAGTGATGCTGGCCCACATCCAGAAAAGTATACTGGACACCCCGGACCCCCTGCAGTATGCCTACAGGCCCAGTAGGGCCACCTCAGATGCTATCGTGGCTGGCCCCCCCAA